ATTTTTAACTGTTCCCTTGTGAGTCTAATCAAAGGAAATGAAGAATGCTCAAAAGAGAAAAAATCATTACCTATTTTGAAAAGTTAATATATGGCTTCCACCATTTTTCAAAAATCTATAGAAGAGAACTGAATTTATGTGTTATTGCAAAAGGCATCTTAAGTTTCAGGATATCCTGCTAACAAATCAAGCAGGATCTTCCATAAACAACAATGGAACAATGCTATCTTGCAGAATAACTATTAAATATAATTAAATAAGATGAGAAAAAATGAGAAATAACAGTTTGATATTAATTTAAAGAAGAAACAAGCTATATAACATATAATTATGATAATGTGGAGAAAAGAGGTTTCTTATGCTTACAGCTGATAAATTAAAATATTTTGGACATTCTAGCACTTAAAAAGGACATTATATAAATAGCTATACAGAGTAAGTTAAGTCTTTTTTCAATTACGTCACTTATTCCCTCATGTATCTCTGTGACTTGATTTCTAAGACTGAACTGAATTGAATGTATGCATATTACGCAGTGCTGTTTAAATATAGCACAGCAAGTAATTAATGCCCAGAATTATTGGAATAGGGGTTTTTTATTTTATTTTAACATGCTCTTATTTCTTTGAACGATTTGGATGACAGTACAATAGTATATGTGACATGATACCGTCACTAACATATTGACAATTATGGCTTTTAAAAAGTTACAAATCTTACAGTAAGTAAAAATGTATACCTTATATCTTAGCTAATAATTTCACAAAGTATAACCATGTTTATAATTCCAACATTATTATAACACTTAACATACTGGGTTAAAATTATATATTCTCAGACAGCACCAAAAACCAGTAATAAATTGCTTAATTGTTCTTTCAAAATGTTAAACATATACTAAAATCAATCAATGTGATATTAGGTGTTCTTAACAGTATTCAAAGCTCTCAGGTCAAGGAGTCCTACTATTAAATCTTAATTTTCAGTTGTAAGGGCTTATAACAATAAAGCCAGAATTGTACTTTGATAAAACATTCTCAGGTCCAAATTTCAGAACTATGGTTCCTTGGATTGTCAGAGAAATAGAAATGACAACTAAATAACTACTAAACCAATATAAAGCTTCTCTGCATTTATATCCAGTATACAAAACATTCATGATCACTAGATTCTGTATGGAGCTTGCTGTATGTGTTCAAAATGAAATGTTCTTCCAAAGAATGACCAAATTGTCAGTGAAAAACATTGGGACATTCAGAAAAAGAAATATCAACCACTTCAAATAATTATAAAAGAAAAGATTCAATGGAAATGTAGTGTTGAAGACAATGTGTATCCTGATATTGAAAAATTTAAGTTTGGCAAAAATACAATGGCCATGTTTCTACAGTAATATCAAAAGAACAAATATCAGTTGCCATTAGAAGACAACTCTAAAAGAAAATAATTATTTTGACAGGGCAGAAAAAGGGCAAAAGGGAATAATCTTACATAATAAACCTGGAGTATCCATTCCGTCTATTACAAAAATATGTTCAATTGAGGATCACATTTAATCTCTGAAAAGTATGTTTGCTTTTACTTAAAATGTAGCATTGTAGTTCCTAAAAAGGGGTGTGGTTGTTTTTGCATTTTTTTTATCACAAATTCCTTCAGTTTGGGGCTTATATTCCAAAGCACACTATAGCAATAGAAGATTTATATACTGCTTCATAGTGCTTTACAGCCCTCTCAAAGCAGTTTACAGAGTCAGCATATTGCCCCCAACAATTTGGGTCCTCATTTTACCGACCTCAGAAGGATGGAAGGCTGATTAGGAAAGTATTATACATTTTCTTATACTAACAGTATAATTTAGAATACCACTACTTTTTATCTATCTTAGCATAAATATTTATGTTTTCAAATGTCAATATGATGTTGTATATTGTTAGAAGCATATATTCAGAGGAAGAAATGGTGACTTGAAGATGGCTCTGCTAAAAGCAGAATCTACAACTGTGGTGGAATGAAGAGCCGGCAAGTACATCAGCTTTTCAAAATTCCTCTTTAAACAGGGAGAAGATTCAGGACTGTGTTCCAGACAGTTGCTCCTCATGAGGAGACCAGTAGACAGTGGTATCTGGTCCGTTTAGAAGTCTGCCTGAACTGCAGTCAGAGCCATTTCTAATCATGATTGGGACTTGCTTGTTAATTACTCTTCAGATATTAGGAACCTTTGAATTGACAAAGGTTTTTTTTATAACACTTTAGCAAAATAAGTTACTTTAAGGACTTTAAAAAATCATTTTGGAATAAACAGCAAAAGAGTAATTAGAATATTAATTTTGGAAAATTACAAATGAACTAAGGATCTAGAAGGATTTGAAATAAGATTTTGAAATTAATTATAGAACCCTTTGCATGGGAAAATATTTTTCTTTTGAATTCTTAAAAAAAAGGTAGCAGGGACCTTGAACATTGGACATTAGAGGGAACCAGAAAGAACTAAATATTACAATTAAATTCACATTTAAATGTGAATTACTGTTAAAGAATGAAGCAGAATACTTTAACATTAGACGATATTTGTGAGCAATGGACCCAGAAGTTAATTTTAAATCTGTCTCCATTATAGAATGCTTAAAAGATATGAAAGAACAAGTTTTACTGGACAAGACAGTCTGATTTGAAAGTGAATTTAAAAATGATAGCCTACAATATGGAAAAAGATGCTATACAGGGTATACAAATGAAACCAATTGATATCTTAATTAAAAGGGATATACAAATAACAAATCAAAAGAATGATCTGAATAATTATCCCATATTAGAATTACAAGACAGATTTGTTAAAAGTTTTGAAGAGTTTTGTGAAAACGGATAAAAAAATTACCAAAACAAATCAAGTTCCAGGACTGTATTTGAAAGGATTAAAGACAGAGATTGTTAAAAGTAAAAGGAAGGAATATAAAGTTGGTTTGTCTGATCAAGGTTAAATGCGTGGTAACTCTTAATAGACCTTTGCCATGAATGATAAGGCTTTAAGGATCTGTTTATTTTAAGGGATAAATGGGAAGAAAATACGTTTGTTGCATTTTAAGAAGCAGCAATAAGTTACTAAAATTGAGCATATATACCATGGAGGGGAAAGTCATTTTTTTATATATTTTTTCTTTTTACTATATTTTTTCTATTTCTATTTTATATTTTTTCTGCACTTCCTACTTTTTATTCTTTTAGTTTCCATTAGTTTTTATTTTTTTAATTGTAATGTTTAATAAAACGTCTATAAAAACATATATTCATATAATTATTTTATTGTTTCATATAATTAAAAGCATATACAGGTAGTCCTCAACTTACAACAGTTCGTTTAGTGACATTCAAAGTTACAGTGACACTGAAAAAAGTGACATGGCCATTTTTCACACAACCAGTCTATGGTCACGTGTTCAAAATTCAGACGTCTGGCAACTGACTCATGTTTATGACGGTTGCAGTGTTCCAAGGCCATGTGATCACCTTTTGTGATTTTTCTCATAAGCAAAGTCAATGGGGAAGTCAGATTCATTTAACAACTGAGTTACTAATTTAACTGCAGTGATTTGCTTAACAACCAGGTTAAAGTAGGTCATAAAATGGGGCAACTCACTTAACAAATGTCTCACTTAGCAATAGAAATTTTGAGCTCAGTTCTGGTCATACGTTGAGGACTACCTGTATTGTAATTACGAATTTTAGAATGCAACACTGGAATACAATTTTTACAAATGGCATGACAGTCTCCGTCCCTCTGAATCTATCTATCCTTTAGTTTTAAGAGTGAAATACTAAGTGGCAGAAATATGCCCCTCCCTTAAAACTGCAGAACCAATAAAAATATTAACTATTTTGTTCAGAGTGAAGTATCAAATTGAGGTCTAAAGGCTCAAATTCTCTAAGCGAAATGAAACAGCATTAGTAAATTGATATTCTGTACCACTGAATATATTGTATTTTTTATAATTTATATTGTATGTATTGAAAAAATGAATTAGTGCAAAACCAAAATTAGTTAATTTCACTGCACAAAGAATCAAATAAATTGTATATTTACTTACAATAGCTTATAGGTAAAATACATTAGAATACAGAAAAGCTTTTATTTTAATAATCTGATTTGGATATAAGATAACTGAATTGGCACACATGCTTTAGGTAAACATTTAATACCAATGAAAGTTCCATTCTGCATTAAAATTGCAAAGCTTCAATTTTATTCATTCTCAGTTGTTGCAATTGATCTGTCTTGACCTCTTAGATAACAAAACCATTGCAAGACACTGCCACTTTAAATATTTCAAGGCTTATGTAGCTAGTAAATAGGCCCCATTGCAATATGGCTGTGAAGGTCATGTCCTATTGTATCTTTCCTCTGATATTGAGTGTGAAAGAATCAAAATGTTTACTCCACACAAATATTTTAATGTGTCTTTTAATCTCTGTATTGCCATTATACATGTTCTTATTAATAGTAAATGCTATTCAGGTCAATACACACCCAAGCCTCTTCCTGGATCTATTTAAATCCACACCCTGGACATATTATCATGATTACATTTTAGCAATTTCAGCATGTTATTTGCATTCATATGCCTAATTTTGCAAACACAATCCTGTCGAACCTCATTTCTCAGCATTAGTGAGGCAGAGCAGTTTTAAGCAAAAGGGATTGGCCCTTTAATGTGGAAAGGATAATTAAACAGATTCCTCAAGTGTTGTTGGATTTGGTCATACTATTTAATTTACAATATGAAGCCACCTAGACAAGATCTGAAACTTTTATTTCACATTTTTAAAGAATACTGTTTTAGTTAAAATGCATAAAACAGGAGCAAATATTAAGGAAAAAAGCTAGAACCAAAATTCAAATATTTTTTACATTGAAAATCAAATGGAAACAAGGAGCCTAGAAATAATGTGTTTTCGAGTCCCTAACATATGTGAATGCTCTCAACAAGTATATAGGTTTAATTATATCAAGAAAGACTGCTACCTAATGCCGGCATAAGCTGTAATGACAAAAAACATTTAATTTTACCCAGGATTGAATTATAGGACAAATGCTAAAATATGTCTGCCCATCCTTTCTCTCTCCCCCCCCCCCCCGCCCACTTCAAGAAAGGACTTTACCTGAAAAGGCAACAGATTATTGCCATTGTCTGTCCTGAAGGCGTTGTCTTCCATCCAGGATTTTGGAGCTAGAGGAGCAGCCCGGGGAAATTTCGGTGGGGCAATAACATTGGTAGAAAAGGGCTTTTTAAGAGGTGAAATGGGATTGAGCGGGGATGGCACTCCAACTCCAACTCCCACACCAACTCCCACACCAACTGCCCTTCGAGGGTCTCTGCCAGCTTGCAGCCCACCCCAAGGATTGGAAGGTGTACTCCAAGCTGCATTTTGATGGTTATTCCAGCTGGAAGGAGAAGAGGTGGAGGTGGAAGAGGAAGAAGGTTTGCTGGTCATGATGGGCTGATGGCTGTAAGCAGCATTTCTCTGAGCAAAAGATGCCTGATTAGGGCTGACCGGCGACCTCCTTTGCTGCTGCTGTGCTTGTTGTTGCTGCTGCTGCTGCTGCTGCTGCTGCTGCTGTTGGTGGTGCTGAGTCTGAGCTAGGCCAATCTGGGGGGAGAAAGTGCCTCCAAAAACAGGATTGACATGATGAGGGAAATTTTGGAAAAGCATTGTCCCATTAACTGGGGTAATCCCTTGAAAAAAGCTATCATCCACTGCGTTTGTGGTCCCTGTAGACCAAGTGCTTCCGAAGGAGGGAGACAAGGAGGTGCCGGCTGTAGGCTCCTGCTGCGGCTGGTGGAAACTTAAGCCCGGCAAGATGGGAGACTCCATTTGCATCTTTTCTTTGCTATTTTGGGCAGGAGCTGCTGAGCCGATGCTAGTCACTGGACTGTCCTCCGGTTTGGGTGTCTCTGACGTTATGGGTGTAGAAAGAGCTTCTGCTGCGTTTGGATCTTGCTGCTGCCGCTGAGGCTGGACTTTGCTTTTGTCCATCAGTAAATCATCCTGCATGGTTTGCGCAGCTGAAACGAGGAGAAAAGGGGGGGGGGGGAAACCATAGAGTATTAACATTCATAAAGCTGGTTTAGCCTTCCACTGCTTGCTAGAATTCCACTGCTAGCATAAAGCCGCCGCAAATTGCAAGACACAGCAATACTAATACGTAATCCCCACCCCCACTCCCTTTAGGGGTAAACGGTTTGAATCAGCACGATCAGTTCACATTGCCTCTAAAAATACATTTGAAGAGGTTTCACCCTTTTCGATGTCTTGCTTCCCTTCAGTGTAAAGGAAAAATGTGCTTATAGGGCACAGATATACAGCAATTTCGCCACGTCTCTTTCTCTTATACCGGAACTCAGAGCTCTCGCCTTGCAATGAGAAACTGATTCTGGTTCCTGTTTTTCCGTACACCCTCCTCCTCCCCTGTTATTTGCATACGTCAATAAATACTGCTGCGTCCTTCAGCAAGGTTAAAAAGACAGCAGCCTTTACTCTCCTCCACCCCTTTCCTATGAATAGACTTTTAAAAGGGCCGAATACCCATTTTGATTAATTAACAAAAAGGTTCAGCCAACTAATTTGAAACAGTTCACCATTCGCGATCTCAAATTTAGAATAAGTGTAGACGCTCAAGACAAGACATTTTGCTCTTTAAATTACGGAGGGGGGAGGAGGAGGGAAAGTATCTTACATAAAATATTCAGTTTGGCTTGCTTTAACAACCATTTTTGATAAAAAAAAAACCTGCTTAATAATTAGTTCGTTTCTGATTTGCTTATGTATTTCTTTCAAGCACATTAAATATAACACAACGTAATCTATAAATTTTAAAGAATTCAACTTTATGATTGAGAGTAAAGTTAATTGAATTCAGTTACAGTCCTTTATGATTGGACACAAATATTCATTTGTACGATTAACCCTTCTTTAAAAAAAAATATTTTGGTTTAAAAATCCTGAAATACTGGGACCCTCAAAATTGATAAAAGCATTCCCACAGCTGTAACAATTTTCCAAAGGCAAATTGCAGAACCTGAGTATGCATACATTATTTAAAATACTGCCCGTTGTAAATAACTAGACTTTCAGAAATATATATCATTACTTTCATTCACATTAATATCCTTCCAAAAATCTTTTATTATTGGGCAGTTTAAAATGTAATAAACAATTGTAAAAACATTCATTAGCATTCATTAGCTTTTATAGCAAGAAAGCTATGAGAAAAAGTTAAATAGTAAAATAGGCTAAAGGCAGCCATCCACCCTATATACTGAACTTTATAAACTGAATTAGTTAGTAGTAGGTACAACATTTGAAATTTAATACTATATCGTGGTTTCCTTCTCCCCTCCCCCCTTTACCCAGTGTTCAAATCACTCATTTTTTTCTTGCTATTTAACTGCATAGAAGTAATCAAGGCATCATAACAGCAGCTGCTTAGAGGACTTAAGAGAATTAAGAACATAGTAATTTTCTCACGTCTCTCTCATTCCAGGGATTCATAAATTTAGCATTCCTCTTCAAACAGATAGTTAATCAAGTAAGAACAGCAGAAGCGTATATTGTACGCGTATTAATCCACAGCAGGATAGTTCACAGAAATAATTTTCTTCACTACTGATCTACACACGAGCTAAAAATAATGTGTTGCGGAGGGTGCATATATAGAGTGTTCTAAGCTAAATTCAGAATCCCCAAATGGAGTAAACTAGCGCATCTTTGCACGCAGTTCTGACGCTGCTATAGGGGGTGCAGGCAAACCTTTAAAGCAGCACTGCAGCAAGCCATAATATCAAAGCCTTTGTGTAGTTTTCTATTAGCTGCACTCAGATCAAATTCATCAAAGCAGTAGTGTAGACAACATATACACAAAATATTTCATGCAAAGAAAAAAAAACCTGGGGGTATTACTCTGCACCAGTTTTAAAATGCCTATTTATGAAAACATTTCTATAAATAAGGATATTATTAACACTATGCCTTCCAATGTAGATGATAAGCTATACTGTAACAACTGATTTAAATACCACTATGAACTTCATATTACACTTAGGATTTCACTAAAAATCATACCTTTCTTCTCAAGGTCAACATCTACTTTTAGTAATTGTAAGCAGTCTGAACCAGAAAAAAAAGGATGTTACTCAAAAAAAAAAAGCAGGTAGCCAAATATCTAGTTGTAGGTTAATATCCAAAGTCCCCTGATTTCTCCACCCCTTTTTCTCCCACTGAATATATTTATGTCAATCCAAAGTATACTACGGAAAAAATAATATCCCCTTTGTACTTCATTTGCATGCAGTAACCCACACAGTCAAGGCAAATTGCCCAGAACATTTACCTTTTGAGTGTTCTGTATTTAAAGATCAATGAAAGGTAGGGACAGTATGTCTATTTCCTTCTTTCGGGTTTGGTATATGATAAATAGAAATTGCTCTGGCAAGAGCACTTTGACAACTGTAAGCTTAAAGCGCATGCGCGCGCGCGCGGAATTGTGGGGGTTGAAGTCTTTTGCGAATGAACTCTTTCAAACAGAGGCAGGCTGGGAGAATACTGTAGTACACTATTCAAAGGAGCGACGCACGTTTAATAAAAGGAACTACGGCTATATGGCTTTTTCAACAAAGAAAACTGGCCTAACAGGTACATTTGGAAATAATAGTTACTTCATCATATATGATTAACTGATCTTAGTTTAGACATGGATCAAAACGCTAACGTTTCCTTGTTTTTTTTAGAGATTTGTATCGTATCTGAATTAAAATCAACCGGGTAATAGCTGCCCAAAGTAAGTTATTATAACCTTCATTTTTCATTTCATTAAAAAGGCTTAATATATTTATCAACACATATTCAGATCTATTGTGTCCCTCCTGTCTGCTTGCAAATATTTTTTAAAAAATCATGCATATATCAATCCATTTTTGCATATATCCATGGATTTTAAAAAATCTCTTAGTATTTACTCCTTACTGTTTACAATGAAAGTTACCCCTTCTCTTCAGGAAAGTGCTCATGTGCACACATATTCGTATACAAAATCCTATGTGGCTATAAATTAAAATCTATCATGGATAATATGACAATTTGATTTCTCTTTTCCATAACTGACTTTAGATGTAGTAACTCTGTTAAAACAAATGAGAAATGTAACATACTATACTTTCATAACATTCTTTATGGTGGTAAACTTCTGGTTAGTAACTGTAAATAAATTAATTATAATTTTAAGAAACATACAGATTTTAACCTTTTTCATTTAAGTATTTTTAATATACTTTTTATGAAATAATTGACTTATATACTTAACATTCATATATCTTCAAGTCAAATATAACAAAGATAAGAATGAGCAAATATTTTTCAAAACATTGTATCTGGCATTTTCCTACTAAAAATTCTTAAACTCTGTGTGGATAACCAATGTGTTGGAATTACAAATCACTTCAATTAATAGGATGGATTAACTTGTAAATATTAAGTTAATGCACAGAAATACCTATTTTTCCAGTTACTGCCAGTTGCATTTTGTCTGACAAAATTACACGGGGAAGGCATAAAAGATCTAAGCATTTCATCATAAGGTAGCTTAAGATATTATATGCTAAGATGCAAAGGAGCTCTTTTATTTACATAATGATTTTTGGATTTTTAAATTATATTGGAATTTAAATATCTGAATCATCTGTTTTAATTATACCTGAGCAAATGAATTCTGTCCATATTTATTCAGACGTGGTTCAAAGGGGTCTTTCTCCCAGTAAAACCATTATACTTTAATCTCTTTTGTTCTTTTTGAGGGAAGCAGTTGGATCTTTGATCTAATGTCTGAGAGTGGTGTGGAAGTCTGAATGTGTGGAAAAATAAATACAATAGAGGTTCATTGTACTGGACATTTGGCATTTAAGGGCAAGGGCAGATTATATTCATTCATAGTCTTAGGTGGACAGTCTGAGAGCATTCCGTTGTAATGGATACACAGATGGTGTCAACTGAATGAAATGTATTTTTATTAACTGTGGCATGCTAAAGCCAACTACCGTTAATTGCCTTTTCCAGACTAAATTATTAAAAGAAGCCAAACAGAACAAAAATTCTGTTTGTTGAAAGTCAGCCTATTTTCTGAAGACGGCACCCTGAAACATCATACTGTTATTTGATCTGTACTAGTTTCCACTTTATTTTCTAGTTTTAATTTAAATGTATAATTAAAGATGGCAAGGATATTCTCTCTCACATATATTCATAGTACTCAATTATTTCATTCAGCATTATGTTTTGCCCCAAATTCTTTTACTGACTCACTTAGGGAAGTCTTCAAAAGGAGCGAGGTTGTTTTACTCGTGATACCAATACTGTAAATTGCTTACCACTTAGTTGAAGTAATATTTTTTTAATTTTATCTATGAATTTAGGGTGTGACATTTTGAAGGGCTTTTGGTGATTATTTTTTCTTTTCTTTTATCTTTAAATGTCTTGCTTTTGCTAATTTGACCCATTTTTTTTTTACTTTTTTATTTATTGTTCTAACCCAATGTATTGGGAATATAAGTCACCCTAGTTTCTTTTGAAGTGAGACATGTATCACTTGAAGTGAGACAATTGACAATAACCACCAAATAGTTGCGATAAACTTTCTTGGAATTAGTCAGATGTAAACCACATCAATACATACTGTGGATGGCCCAGCTAGGTGGCAGCACCTAGCCGGCATTGGCTAATCTCAGAAAACTAAACAGAGTTGGATCTGATTATTACTTGGAATCTCAGGCCTTTAGACTATATTAAGAAGTCAAAGCATTGTGAAAAAGGTACTTTGGTATTATTGCCAAAGAAAACTACATGAAGTTATTGATGAATTCATTAAGATTGAAAGAGATATCAAATTCAAGCAGAAATGGTTCCTTTATATAAAACATATTATTCAAGAAGGCAAGCTAAGATATAGAAATATAGCTTCTGAGGAAAAAAAGAAACTGTTTAAAAATAATTAAAATAATCCAAATAAAAACAAGCAACAATCACAAATGTCCAAACTATGGAATAAAAATATTAAAGTAGTAATTAGCAATTGGATAAAAATGAGGGGGGGGAGAGAAGGGCTACTAGAATACTTTTTCTTATTTTTTTTATATAATCTATTTTCATTTTCATTTTATAGTCAAACTCTCATTTCAAATTTTCCCTACAGTGTTTATTTTATCCATGTATATGTATTCATTTCGCTTTTCTTGTTTTTGCATTTTTGAAATTAATAAAAAATAAAATGAGGGTGAAAATTAAAAGAAAATTCATTTATACTACCATATAGATGAGGAAACATTAATAGATATAAAACATGGTTCAAATGTGTAATAAATAACAT